TCTTAAATTATATGTTATTCAAAAATAATTAAATACATCTAATTAATTTAAAATTTAACATACATTATGTATATGGTATATCACAAATAAAATTAGTTATTGATATAAAAACTGATCTAACTCATATTAGTGTAAACTAATCACAACTCACAAAAGAATTTTATAATTTCTCCCATCCTAAATGTATAGATCCATCCTCTATTACGAGAGGAGAAAAGATTGTCTATCACTGTATAATCCAAAATAAAAGTAAAAGCGCACACGCAACTATAATCAAGGCTAAGTCATTGAGTCAAGGAGATAATATTTTCTGGACTACAACGTTTCTGCATCCATGGCTCATTGACCTAACCATAAATCAACCATTTTCCTGAAAAAAATCCAAGAGGGCTTAATCAAAAAGCGTGTAAACTATGGGGGTAAAAAAGTATGTGCCCAAAATGGATGCTGTAATAACAAAAGGGACAAGAACACAAGAGAAAGACATGGAATGCATTCAGTTCACATATTTCACACTCGAGTTTCAATGGTAAGTGTAAAGGACCAAATGAACAGCAAAGAAATAATCCACAGGCTCAAGAGTCATGGTTGTATATGGTAACAACTAGAGGATGTACAAATTATTTACTGAAATAGATTCATCATTTATGAGATGAAAGTTGACACCTTCGATGAACATTCTAGTTGTGCGCAACTTCATATTTACTATATTTATGACTTCAGAACCCTCTCAATGGCAGAAATATAGTACTCCTTAGGCATTGTACCAACAATAGACTCCCGTTTCTCTCCATTCTTGAACAGCAACACCACTGGTACGGCCTTAATTTCATAATCCTGGGCAATTGGTAAGTCATCATCGGTGTTGAGTACAAAGCATTTTAGTTTCCCATCATAATCTCCTGCAATCTCATCAATTAATCTGTGAACCATCCTGCAAGGTCCACACCAGCTTGCATAAAACTCCACCATAACGGGGACATCACTGCTCAATATCAATTTCTTCCATGAGTCTTTAGTAACTATAGCAGCTGCAATTGCACATCCAACCAAAAATTATCAAGAGGACCCTCAAAAGATTCTATATCCTTCATTAACATCAAAGCATGGAATGGAAAGCTCAACTAAAGAAACTATGTCTGATTCATCCACCAGATATAATGCATATAAGTTTTAGACACCATCCAAATTCGGGTATACTACACTCCAATCAAAGAGAGAAACCAAAACAAAAGCCTTCACAATAAGCCAGAAGAAATGCAACTCAACACAATCATGCAAACTAAATATTTACAGCAAACTCAAATACAGTCTAATAATTAGTCCTGTAAAGGCCTTGGAATTTGATGAAGATACCGCATAGATCAAGGGCAAGTCAAAATACAAGTGTGCAATATCATTGAAAGAAAATAATCCCCCATAGGCGAAATGTGAATCACTACCTAGTATCATCTTGTGCGGTTCTTTAAGATAATGTAGCAAGTATAGTGGCAAGCTAAATTTAACCAAAAAAAAAAAAAAGGTGCTATAATAATCAGGACATTTAAGGTGAGCAGGATTCAGCAGAAACCTATATTCATATCACCATAAACAATTATACAAAAGCCTGAGTACCTAGGACTACCCTGCATTCAGCATAAGTTTCTAATGGATTCATCCATTTTGTTGTACCTCTTCTTCCTTCCACTATTTTCCCTGTTGCCTTTCCAATCACAAGATTATGGAAAGCACTAAAGTTTTCTGTTTGCTAAAGAAATATTGGCAAACAATAACATACACATTTCATAAACATAAATTTTCATCAAAATTCAAAAGAAGTAAAAAGAAAATTCCATAACACAGGTTTCAAGATATTTTGCGAAAAAATTGGCCTTCCAGTCACTTTAAAGGAGACTTATACACATCCATAGATCCAAAAAGCAGATAATTGAAGTAGAAAAGGTGCCCTATTAAATTTCCTACCATTCTAACAGAGTTTAACTTGCTGAAACCCATAAATAGCATTGAAGAAGGATCCTTAAAAAACTAAAACAAGGGGAAAAAAGATACTCAGAAATAAAGGCAGCAAATCAGATCAAATCATGCACCTCCCATCTGAAACAGACATAGGTTACCTTTGGGTTCACGCATTGAAAGAGCCTTGAGATTGACTGCAGGAACGTGGTCGTGAAACTTAAGAGTACCCATTCTAGATGGAAACAAGACGAAGCTTGAAGGGTTTGGCTTAGAGGGAAAAGGAGAAGAAACGGCACATGGGTTTAGGCGTGTCAGGGCCAAATAGGATGGTGGGTTAAACGAAGTGGAACAAGCCATGGATTGAGTGAAGCAATCAAGTGAAGAGGTTCCAGGAAGAAGAAATCAGATATATATGGGGGAAAAGGAGAGAACTTTAGTTGAGGTTTTCAGCTGAATTTGTGCAGCAGCCGACCAATGTGAAATGAGAACGCAGAAGCTGTGCACGTTTTTGTTGAGGATTTATGAAGGGAGAGAGAAATCGGACCCGCAGACTGTGAGTTTCTTTTTGTTTGAAGCTGATGAGAGAACTACACGTCCAGTGGGACTCGAACCCACAATCGCCTGATTAGAAGTCAGACGCCTTATCCATGGGCGCTTAGCTTAAGTTTGGATAAAAATGATTTTATTTAATAAATGATTTATTAACTGTTACCTTTTTTTCATTTTAGTTTAGATACTTTATTTTCTTTCAAACTCATCTATTAACTTTCAAAATTATTTCATTTTCGTCTACTCCATACAACACCGTTAACCATATTGATGGAAGTTTCAGTTTCTAATCATGTGACGCCATGTAAGTTGCTGTGTAATATCACATAAGCAAACTGCTGGCCTAAAAAAAGGGAAGGAAAATTTCACAGCATTGTTTCTCTTTAATTTTTTTTTTTTGGTGGCAGGAGCAAATTTCTTGTCTCATTATTGTCCTTTAATTTTTTTTTGCCATTGTTTCCTTTTAATTAAAAAAAATCTATTTTTAGAAAAATAATAAAACTAAAATATAACATTTTAAAACAAGATTTTGTTAATTTAACAAGTGTCTTTAAAATACAAATTAAAATATATTTATTATATTTTTTTGGTAAAAAAAATACAAAAATAAACTTTAATTTTATTAACCAACCAATTATATTTTTTTGTTAATTAAAATAT